GTAACAATTATTTGTTCACTGTTATTTAATTTTTATTGTTTGAGTCCATAACTTCAATTAATAGTAAAAGTATATTTTCCTTTTTCCATTTAAATCCTTTTTTCAGATTTGGTTTTCATCATTTTATTTTGTTGTTCATGTTCATTAATTCTTTTTGAATTCGAGGAAGTGTAATTTCTTTCTAGTTGGCATTGAATGGAACTTCTTAATTTCTGGAATGCAGGTTTCAACCTGTCAACTGATACGATATTATTCACATCGTCGGAAATTTTTATAATAAAATATTATTGACTGCGATGTAATACCTTAAAAATGGACCCGTGTACAAGAGCTATCAAGATGTTTTCGTACTCTTTCAGTCCGTAACCACACATATTCACTAGTTTTTAAGTCTTTGGGGACATACGAATTCGGTAAACAATGCAGTTGACCGTTAGTTTATCAGACTCAAATTTCTGCATCTCTTTAACGAACCAAATTCTTTACTTGTGAATTTGTTACTTAAGTGTCTTCATTGTCTTTGTATCTACTAATATTCAAAGGACTTATGCATTAACTCCTGTTGCAGCAGTAAATGGTGAGTAATTCTGTTCATTGTGAGTTATTCTGATTCAAAGTAGGAATAATAGGTAGAGTCGATAACCCCGAGTCCTTCCTGGCAATAATTGCAATTTTTGGAGTCCGATGTGCACATTCAATTAAAATATTTATTTGTGGATGATAGGAGGTCGTTCTCAGTCTGTAGAAGCTTATTAGAGAGTTCTGAAAACAATTCCAATCCGAACTGACTATCACTGTCTGTAACGACATGGAGGGGAACTCTGAATCTGGATATCCACATTTTGACGAAATGATTGTGCTGAAATTTCCATCAAAGGAGTACTTCTATCAATACATGTTAGAAAACACCGATAAGGTGAGAAATAGGGGACAGTAATGTTTTTAACTGGTCTTAAAGGACCCACTATATCCAGGTGCACTGTTTGGAAACAACTAGAAAGCAATTCAAATAGCTGAACTTCACTCTTTAGTTATTTTTGATTCCTGACAATGCTGACATTATTTACACCATGTTTTTATTGATTTGCTCATTTTGGGCCAGTAGAACCTCAATATGATAATTTTTATCGAAACTGATATTTTAGGGTCTGATAGAGTATATTAGACTGTGAAATACTGATTTCCTGAGCTCTTGCGTCACCAAAGGTTGTGGGAAGGGTAATGACACATCGCGCAGAATATTTTGATGTTTATTTACAGGATATGGTTTCAGTTGATCATGAAACCATCTGCAAATCACATACATCAATAGTAACTGTATTAGCTGGTCGAAATAAACAATCAGCTACTATATTCTGATGATCTTTTTCTTGATAAATATCAGTAACATATTCACTTATAAAACAGAGGTGACATTGTTGTCTGTCAGATTTCAGTGGAGTCTGGCTTGTAAAATCATTACATTGTGGTCGGTTAATAATAATAAATTCCTGCCCTCGATTTGATGTTTAAAATACTGCCAGGTAAGCAGTGATTAATTCCCTGACGAGGGTAGAATATTTTGTTGCGTCAGTGGCAATTTCTTCGAAAATAAACCAATGGAAATCGGTTGGCTGTCTACCATTTGATGTAATGCTGCACCGACAGCATAATTAAAACTATCTGTAACAGAACCAGTTTTCTATAGAAAATGGCCATTCCAAGAAATGATTTGGAGTCGTTTGGTGGTGGTGTTGATGGGGATTCATTTAATTCAGCAAGTTTCCTAGCACTGGGTTTAATATCATCGTCAGAAACACCGAATGCAAAAAAATCAAGCTCGTGAGCACCGAACAAACACTTAGCAAGGGAAATTTTTAGATCGTCCTCACTAAGTTTTTGTAAGACTTGGTCGAGTTCCTTGGAATGAGTTTCTTCGTTGTCTAAAAAGATGAAGATGTGATTGATGCATATAAACATACAACTGAAATTAAGGAAGATGTTGTCCATCATCCACTGAAATGTACTGGATGCGTTCCGTAGTTCGAAAGGCATAAAGTTGTACTCGAACAACCCAAAAAGTCCTGTAATGGCTGTTTTACATACATCGTCCAGATGGATTAAAACCTGATGGTAAGTTGATGATAAATCGATTTTTGAAAATATTTTCTTACCAGTGTATTTATATTTGGCACTTGGTAACGATTTGTTTTTTCATTGTATTCAATTGCCAGGTCTGTATGTGCTGTTTGACTTCAGTATCATATGTAAGGCTTTGGTTTTTGATCTTTATTGAATGGTCGAACATTGGGTGGCTAGTTGATATTTTTGGAGATGGAACTTTGGTCTTGTTTATTCTTTGTATTTGGGATTGTTGTAGGAGTTGGATATTTTCTTGCCTAAAATAAAGAAGATCGTCTGACATTTTACCCAATCGATTCGTGCCAAGGTCGATTTGAGCTGCTAACACTGGTTTGATCGATGCTGGTAGTGCCCACGGGAATTTATGTTGAACTATATCATCACAGACTCACTAGAGACATCAGTTCAATTAAATATATGGGTGGACAACTTGTCATAACAGCTTGATATCAATTTGTCCAGCATTTCTGATTTAGATTTTTTTTATACGAGAGAAGTATCCTTCAGTATTTCGTAATTTGTTTGTTGTTTGTTGCAGTTTCCCGACAATATCTGGAGGTAGAGAAGCCAATATGTGGTAAAAAGTCTTTGTTTTGCCTCCTTAATGCGCATGATGTTAAATTGGGCTTCCATTATAGAAAACCACGCTAGCACATTGGATGCATGCAAGTGGTCTGAGTGATAGCGGTTCTACTTCACTGTTGTACATTGTACGTTTTTATGTGTCTATTTATGCGTTTAATACGTTGGAGTTTACCAATGTAGGGTTTACCAAAGTGGTTATGTGTTTACAGGTGGTTATCTTCGGATAACGTTCTTAATCCCAATATATACCAAATTTTGACCATTTAAATATGTATGCAAAGATAATTAGTACAAAGTTGCATGTACTGATAAAATTTTATGTATCTTAAGATAAAATATACAAAATTTTAAGAGTTCATAGGTTCATAGGTTCATATCAGAAAGCTATTGTGTTGAACGTCTGCCATTCAGAGAGAGAGATAGAGAGAAGAGAGTCCTTGTAAATGTGTATGTATGTATGTATGTATGTATGTATCTCTTAATAGTAGTAATATTTTCAACTCTCTGTGGAATTTTTTAGGTGTCCAAAAATGTAAGCATGGGAGAACGGACGAAAAATGTCATCGACTTTTTGTTTGGCATGCCTGATCGTCTCTAAGTTTATCACTTTTTCGAGACAAAGGAATTCACTTTAGAATTGTCTCTTGATTTCTGATTGGTTCCCAGGACTCATTTGATCACCTCTTTTTCTTCACCTACATTCAGTTTTCTTTTTTTGACAAAAACCTAAACTAGATTTTAGTTAATTTTTGTTTTTGTTATTTAACATTTCGAATGGCACAATTTTTTTCCTCATCTTTTTTTTCTTTTTTTTTTTTTTTGTTAAGAAAAAGCAATAGGATACCAAACGAGAAATTATTATTATTAAGTGGAATTTTAAAATTGCCAACAATCAATTTTCTCCCGTATACTTTATTTATTTATTTACTTATTTACTGGTAATTTTTTATTGACATGTCTATTATCGACATTTTTCTAAATTATTCCTTTACACGCTGTTTTCTGCATGCAATCTTTCTTCATTTATAGTTTTTCAAAATGAATGACACATTATTTTCAGATTTGAAAACTATAAAGGGTTACAAGCGTTTTTAAATAAATTTTATGGACGGTGGGAGATTCTGCGTTAGGTTCGATTTCCGTTATAGACAACCATTGAACGAATCCACCTTTGGTACTACATTAAAATTTCAATTTGGAATCTACATTTTTCAAATAAATGTTTGTGTGTATGTCGAAGCAAGTGTAAGAAAGAAAAAGATAGAGAAATTTGACTACATTGTGAATTGAATAAAAACATGAAGCGTTCTATTTTTTAGGGAAAGAAAAAAGTACTGGCCAACTACCGAAAGAAAAAAAAGAAATTATTTCACTCACCTTTGAATAATAATCCGCTCTTGTTTGTGTTCATCGAAAACAACGTCGTCATTTTTTTCGCAATCACTGAAATTGTTTGTGTTAACATTTATATTTTGGAACTTGCTCAGGTTGTTTTTCTTTCTACTCTCTCTGTGTGGAACCCCTGACTGACATTTGCTCGATTTCTGTCCCATTTTATTTGCTTAGGTTATCAGTTTTTTGTTTCACTTCTGTCCTTATATTCCACTCAATAGGGTTTTTTTTAATTAGTAGCGGTAAATGAAAATGTATTTCCCATGTTACTTTAGTTTTTTCCTTCTCTTTAATCTTTTCATTCTCTTTTCATAACCCCCAGCCACTTACTTCCCTCTTGCTTCTCCTCCTCCTACTCTCTAAAATTCTTTGCTTTCAATTTTACCTTGATTTTTCTGTGTCGCTGTTCTGTTTTCCTTCCTCTTTTTAAAGCATTTGGGTGGCAAGGGGAGGGGGAGCAGGTGGTATTTTTTTAATTATCAGGTAAAAGAAATATATCATTGATCATGCAATGGAAAATTAGATGAATTTAGAAAACGATGTAAACAATAAAATCATAATGAGATGAATTGAATAGCATATCCTTACCTTGTAGAATGTAGTTATAAAAAAAAAAAAACATCTCTAAAAGTTTCGGTTTTATTAGCCTTATTTCTTTACTAGTTTTGGAAGGAGTCGTTTACCCGTCGTGTCCCACTGAATAATGAATGATACCCGCTCAGTTCAACTGTGGACGAGGACCCTGAGATTTAAAAAAACTGACCTGAAATATCTAATCTCCACATAGAGATATTCACCTGTTTTTCTAACTCCACCCCCTAAATGCCACCACACACGCTCGCCCCCACACACAGATATGCATTATGTATGTGTATATATTGTCCACGTATAGATGCGTGTGTATGCATCTATCTATCTATCTATCTATCTATCTATCTATCTATCTATCTAT